TATTGGGAGTCTCCGACTGAAAGGAAATGAAAAGCAAAAACAATTACAAAATCCTTTACAGATAAAGATATAGTTTGGCTTTATATAGTATTTAGTTGCAGCTAATGTTAATGCACTAATTTCAATGGGAATTATATTTGCATCAAATTAATTCTATAATTAATTATGCCTTCATATATTGTATTTTTGTTGATATCTTGTTGTGCACAAGTCATCTTTTCTGTCGTTCCCGTTTCTTGTATGGTTCCTAAACTTCATTCAACTCAAACATTAGAAAACCACATATATTAATGCCTTTATTTAAGAATTTATGTTACTTTATTTGATGAGGTGTGCATATGACTGACATGACACAGTCATAAAAATGACATAACACCCTTCATAAAGATAAAGGATTCCATAAATGTTTATGACTGTTGTTATGAAGTATCATTCGGTAAATAGTGACACTTGTATAAAACTTGCATTAAAAGTCCATTGAAATGGTCAACTTTGCAATATAAGTGTGATTACTTACCAAGACTGGTAAGACTGACATGGTCATGTCAGTCTTATGCACGCTCTGTCAAAGTGTTACCAAATGTATACAAGAAAATTTATTTAGGGGATGGTAAGTATTGTAAACATTTTCAAAGTTAGCAAAAATGCTAAACAAAACATCAGCTTCACTAATTAGCGCGTTAAGACTGGGAACTCTGGAAAATCGTAAATTTTTGCATGGAAAAAATGCATGCATATGAGGCAGAACAGTTTGGTTGGTATGTATATGTGCATCCATAGTATATGGTATAAAGTGTTCTGCTGAAAATGCAACCTTTTGACCTCCATTACGAAATAGGTGAAGAAAAGGAATGTCGAGTATCATCCTAAACACACAATCTTTATTCTGGTTTTGGCAGCATCATTTCTTTGAGAATGCTTACTTTTTAGTTTGGAGTAGATATACAATATGGAGCTCAGGTGAAGATTTAGCTTCAAGCAGAAGAACCAGCATAAACATACAATCTGAGGCACAACAGAATCTCACGTGTTAGAATGGTCCAGTCAAAGTCCAGAGAAAACTGCGATTTTTTGTGGTAAAAGACTGGCTCTCTCTATCCAGTCCAAATCCAGATGAGCTATTTTGCTTTTGTAGAGATGTAACCTCAAACAAATGCAGCAGCATTAGTTAAGTTTAAGCAATTTCCCATTGGTCAATTGCGCAAAATCTGAAGAAAACACATTTCTGTTTGTGTTGGTTTTATTTTTAAAAAAAGAAGAAAAAAAACGTGAAAAGTATTTCTGCAAGCCAACACAGTTAGCCTTTAACAAAGCTTTCCTCCAGCCAGTTACTTCTCTTCAGATTATTACTGTACATCCATTGCAACAAACTCCCTCAGCACCTGACCCGACCGGATCCGCTCCCTAGATGGCGCTGTGTCCACCAGGCAGCAGAAAGCTCGTTCTGCTGTTTATCATGCAGTTGTGGCAGCCTGCAAAAAAAAAAAAAAAAAACTTTGCTTTTGTCAGAGGAACTGAAGATTTAAAGCTCAGATTAGCGCATTCGTATCTCTGCAGTTAATTAGGAGCGAGGCGCTAACTGAAACCTGAGCGCTGGAGTGGAAGAATAGGAGGAGGTGTGGCCCTCGCAGACACACAAAAAGAAAGAAGTGCGTTAATGTATATCTGACTGTTCTGCTAATGTATCACCAAACCCGCCTGCTGAGACGGATGAATACGAATGCTTAACCCACACTTACCTTCATATTTGATTCCTTTTTTTTTTCCTCCTGCAAACTTTGATTTAAAAATGCCACACACGTACACACACTCCGGCAGCCAGTCGCACTTCTACCTGAGGTTCACGCATGACTGTCTGTATGTGCGTGTCCTTCATAACGCCGGTGCTAAGGTCACCGGGCTCATATTTTACCTGTCAGGAGTGATCACCGTCGCCTTCACAGCTGCTTTGCTTTCAGTCTGTGGAGGATTCAACTGTCCTCCTAAATCTTTATCGAGAGGTAGAAATAAAAAAAAACTAACAAAAAAAAAAAACAACACAACTGAATCCTGCAATCTGTGCAGCGGATCCATCAAAATGCAGATGTGCAAGGCGCTTGTGGAGCGACAGAAGCCGCAATCGGCCTTACAAAGCTGCCGTTTTATATGAAGGAAAACATCCCATAAAGTGTTTAAATGGGATTAACCAGTTCATTAGCTGGAGTAAAAATTTCATGACAGGTCAGTTGTCAGCTGTTTAATGCATGAGGGGGAGCCCGTTTCTGCTCCGCGGAGCCTACAAGCCTGCAGGGAGAAGGGCCCGGCTAATGCTGCCGAACGCACGCTGAAAGCCATTTGGAAAAGCCATTAGCAAATGTAGATTGTTTTTCTGTCAATTAAGATATGAATTATCCGGCTGACATCAGCGCGACTGATGTAATCCACTTCTATTAATTCGACTAAAAGGACGAAGTCGTCACTACACGAAATCCAATCAATAAACTTTGTCTGCCAACAGCCGTGTGAGGAAATTAATATTCAATGGATACGTTTCGTCCGCGGCGTGCCGCTGATGCAAGTAGTGGACAAAATGGCCAGTAACGAGCTTTCTGATTTAAGGATCAGGATGAGGACGTTCGTTTTTATTCCAGGAAATGCTTCACTAAGCTAGCATGTCTTCTATTATTTTAGTTTCCTTGAGCTGTTATTAATGCTTTAATCACCATCACTGTGATTTCTCAATTTGAGCAGTCTAATTGTTTAATTACAGTGGCTTGCAAAAGTTTTTTTTTTTTTTTTACAATTTGTTATAAAGAAGGAAAACCCAACAAAAAAAAATTGCATTTTGGGATTTTAAACAGACCAGCTTCAATCCTGCCATTTTTAGATGCTGTGTTTTAGCTTCAGCACAGCTGATGCAAACAGTTCAACTACATCTATCCTCCGCATGTCAGACATCTGCTGGAGCCTGTTAATGAACAAGCCTTTCAATCAGGGGAAACAACAAGAACGATACAGGCTTTTGGGAACTTTAAACTGATGAAAAATGAATTTAGCTGAAGCTAAGTGAGCTAAACATTTTGAACGCTAGTAAAAATGTTAAAGCACTAGACATTTTAGAAGTTAGAGGAAATGGTAAAGCGCTAAACGTTTTGTAAGTTAGCCAAGATGCTCAAGGGCAAAATGAAAAATTAGCTCTGCTATTAGTGTACCTGCCACTGATTCATTGTTATTGGTGTTTTTACATAATAAAATCTTGCCTGCATTGTTATTCAGTCCCATTTTCTTGAAATCCACTAAGTACAATTATGTGCCACCAACAGTGAATATCATATATTCAAGCATTATATAGGTTGTGAAATAGAGTCACACTAGAAAATAAACATATATAGCATATACTCAAAAGGCTCTCTCATGGAAAACAAGCACTGGACACAACTTAATCACATATGGTGGCGGGAGTCATGTTAGAAAAAAAACAACAAAGAAAACAAACATATTGAGAGAGATAGAGAGAAAAACAGATAGAAATAGGAGTTTCGTCGAGCTGAATATAACCAGTTATATGCAGATTTGGATGCACCACCTGGATTTTAGAGTAAAAGTTGCTGGATAATTTGTGCTCCTAATTAAACTGATTAGTGTGACACATTTGGAGCTGAATCTATGAACATTATTTCTAATTCAACTTGCAAGCTCTGTCGGTCTTCTAAATCCTGGCTCATATTTTGCTTTTGGCTCCCATTTGCAATCTAACTGGTTGATACTGATCAAAAAGCAACAAATTGGGGATTGTAAAAAGCGTGCACAAACACTACAGGTAACAGAAAATTGCATTTATAAATGTACCTTCTTCTAATAAGACGGTATTTGGTGGAGTACTGAGAGAAATAATTGGATTTGCGTAGTAGAAAGTGTTTCGCTACACTCCGATTCTCTCCAAACACTCGTTTTGGGCGAGGTAATGATTGGAGCGCCACACTGATTCTCTGGTTGGTTTTTAACTGTTTTTGTAAAACAAATTAAGAACTGGAGCTGCTCTGCTGGAAAACGCCCTCCACCTGGAACGTAGTGGGAGCACTGAGGATGCTGAAAGATCCTGGAGCATCTTAGAAAACGCTTAAAAAAATAAAAATAAAAAAGCCAAAAGGGTCGGACGGGAAAGATCCACAAGTAACACAAATGACAAACTCTTGTATCGATTTAGCTGCTTCCGCAGTTACCATTATTGTGGCGATACGTCTTGGTCCGAGCGCCGCCGCTTGTTCAAATTAATATACATTAACCTCCATTGTACTGACTCAAACAATATAAATCTCTTTTTTTTGTTTATTTTTTTTCTTTTGGAGGAGCAAATACAATTTCTCATTGTAAACGGCTCAGACTGGGGAAAAAGTCCCCTCAGTTGAATGGATCTCTGCCGGGCCCTGCGGCTTCCTTTTCGCCTGTGGCAGGATGAATGAGTTAATATCATTGTGTGAGCTGGATATACTCACACATGGTGCACTGATATCCTACATCAATGGGCTATTGCAAGTTAATGACCAGCTCTGCGAAGGCCCATTTGCAGGAAATATGGACTGAGTTAGGGGGAAGAAAAAAAAAAGAAAAAGCAAAAGGCAGCAGGGAACGCAGGTGCTCCTGCGGTTGAGGAGCTCATAACGGAGCGGCGTGGTTGTGGGGAGTCTCATTTGGCTGTGCGATCTCGCGCAAAGTCTCAGCTCAAGCCGAAAGCCATTCCTACCACGTTGCGAACACTTCGGACCCTCTGAATTCTCTTGTTGCTCGAGAATGTGCATGTGGATTTGCATAATCGTCTGTAGGTAAATGACAGTTCTGCGCTGCTCTGCGCGTCGTCTGAATAGAAATGGTCGCACTTTTAGGGTATAAAAGGAAGTCGGCGAAGCAGCGGCTAACGGGATGAGTCTTTGGCATCCGTCTTGCTGCGGCGCCGCCTCCTGCTTTTATAGCGTGAGGTGAACGAATGAGTGACAGACACCCACAGCCGAACATCCAAAACATTTGGGAACATTTTCTTTTTTTTATTTCTGGGAATTGTTTGAAGTCAAGGGAGCAGAAGACAATAATTAACTGGTTTAAAAAGCCAAGTATCAACACACACGCACTCGCACCCACACACACACACAAAAAAAACAATGAAAAAGAAAAATACACACTGATTTGCATGTAAATGAATGACAGCTAATTTCTTCAATAAATAAAGACATAAAAAACATTGAATTCCTGGAACATAATGTCATATAAATGAGACGTGAAATTAACTATACAACTGAAAAAAAGAGAAAAAAGCAAATTGACAAGTCGAGCAGACAAGACAGTAAGTAACGTCACAGTAAAAATGAAATCAAAAAACAAAAACAAAGAAAGTCAGTAAGGTGCCAGCCCAGATCTCCAAATCCACCATAATCAGTCTTTATTATCTTATACTCGTATTTTTGTTTGTTTTAGATTTCCAATAAAAAAATAAATAACATGATGAAAACATAATTTCAGAAGAAGACCCTCACTGAGATCTGAGGGTCGGTGTAGACAGCGTCAGATGGTTGAATTGTCATGCGACTGAAGAGAAACGCCATCTGGAGAGACGAGACTTCCTGTCTCTCCAGACTACTTCCTGTGGACGTCCATTATTCACTCCAGGGCAAACAAATAACAATAAAAACAGACATGTTGCTACAGCAACAAAAAAAAAAAACCCAAAACAACTTAAATCTAGTCAAATGTACAACTGTCTGGACATCAGGAGGACAAAAATAATAAATAAATAAATAAATAAGAAAAAGCCTACAGAAAAATGCCTTTTTCTGTACAGTAATGAGTCACCAAGCACACGCTGTAATAAACTATGTAAACATTTTTGTTTTGACACAGTTTTCAGTGAAAACTGAAGAAAAAAAAACTTTACTTGGTCACACTGCGGTAAGTTTTTAACCCTACGTTTTACTTTTTACCAAACTTTGACCATGACAGTTACACTGTTTTCAGACACAAAGCATGTTTTATTTTAACACAGCAGGTCAGTTAAAAATGTAAAATAAAGGGGGGAAAAAATCTGACTTTCTTTTTTTTTATATACTAAAAGTCTAATTGGAATAAATGACTATATATTTACTTTCTTTGAAAGCTTAACTTGCTCCTGCAAGCTTGAGGACCATCTAAAATTTGGTTGCCAACGAAGCAAATAAATTTGAGATACACGATCAGCGGCGACTGACACTGTCCAGTCAACCTCAACTGGCCATTAGTTTCTTTTACAACAGACCAAAAAAAATCATTCATCTTAATAAATAGATACACAAGTAAAGGGATAAACAAAAACAACCGATAAAAAAAGAGACACTTTTAAGCACATGTATACGTTACCTCATATCGCGTCCAAGATGGCTACATTAAATGAACCATTTGAATAGCAAAAAAAAAAAAAAGAGAAAGAAAAACAGCGTTTTGACTTCCAACTTTTCCCAACAATCATGATTTCTTGAGGTCCCTCACTTACACAGATGCCAGCACCACATCACATACACCTCACATGCATGCTCAGAATGGCCAAAATGACAGTGATCGTATTTTACAGGGTTACAATGGACGGCGGGGGGGTCAGTAGAACTCCAAGGATAGCACACCTCTTCACAGTCACTTGGGGTCGTGTCGGGGTGTCCGAGTGATAATTCACATCGTCAAATGTCTCCAGCGGGAACTTTTCAAATCATCCCGATGGAGTCGTACTGCATCGTCTCTTTGTAACGCTTACAATAGTAAGTGAGCTCCCGTGAGCTGAAGTTCGTCTGTAAGCGACTCCGCGAGTCTCAAGTTCTCAAGAAAATGTGTTCTTTTTAAATCACAGTTGCCAATATGGTACTGTCAAAATGTTTTTTTTTTAGCTTGGTTCCAAACAGTTTATTCAGGTGTTGTGAAATGATTCGATTTCTATACATAATATTCCTTATCCTTGTCTTTCGGTCTCTTGCTACTGGCGCTGCCTTTAGTGCTGCCGCTGGGCGTTTTATCCTTCACCACAGAGCCATTGGTTTGCGCAGAGTTGCTGATGTAGTTGCGCGTTTCGTCCACCTGGTAGGAACCCTCGTCCCTGTTTCTGTATTTGTACATAGCGTAGAGGAGGATGAGGATGCAGAGGGCGGCGGCTGACACAATGCCCACCACCATGCCCGTGGTACTGCTGGATTCACGGATCACCTCCGAGGCTCCGGGCGGCACGCGCCTCACCACCCCGGGCACCGTGGGCAAGGCGGCGGGTACTGTACGCAACATGGGTGAGGTGATGAAGGGGCCCCTCGGTTTGGTGCCGTCCACATCGAAGGATGTCGGCCGGGGCAGCAGGACAGGCATGTCTGGCTGCAGAGGTTTGACCTCGCGATTGTCCATTTTCCCTGCAGGCAGCTTGGGTGGCATGTCTGAGGGGCCCGCCGCCGCCGGTGTGACCCGGATGTCCGGCAGAGGCGAGGCGGGTGTAGTCCTGCCTGCCTCTGAGGCCTTGCTAGGCCTTAAGTCCTTGGGCTCCCACTTGGGCACGAGAGCTTTGTAGCCGCCTTCATAAGCCGATGTGGTCAAGATCTTATCTGTTACCAGGGAGAAGGTGGTGTAAAAATCTTCATCGTCAGTCGGGGGCAGGCTAGAGTCGAAAGCTTCGCCAGAGCCAAACCCCGAAATCACCATGCCATCATCATCATCATCACCACCATCATCACCACCATCACAATCATCGCTGCCTCGGTCCGACAAGCAAGGTACCCCCGCCTCAGTGGCCATGGCCAAGGACTCTTTGGTGGTGTCGATAATGGTGAGGACGGGGCGGAGGGTCGGGGGGAGAGGGATGAAGGGTGAACGGGTGGATACAGAAGGAATGTCTATGGGGTCCTCAACTAGAACGGGGACAATTAGCTCCCCTCCTGCAAAGTAGAAACAGAAAGAAAGAAGTCAGGGGGATAGAAAGTTTCCCGCCACCGAAGCAAGAAGCAAGTCAAACACACACACCAAAAAAACAAACAAACAAAAAGAGAAAACTGAAAAATGCAAGAAGCAAAGCTTGACATGAAAAAATAAGAAAACCAAAAAGGAAATGATGAAAGAATAGAAACACTGTACCAGTGCAAAACCAATGAAACTCAGAACCAAACAAGACCAGAACTAAAAAGGAACAAAAGAAAAACAGCCATAAATTAAGTTTACGTTGCATCAAAAGGCTTTGAGGGATGCACAAGGGTGAGCCACATCAAACTGATAACTCATTTTAACTCCTTCATCTCCTTTACATTCAGACTGCAACAGAACCTTTGTTCTCAGATTCATGCCGACCTGTTTTCTCATGTGGTGAGCTGTAATTGCTACCTTTACATAACTCTGTCAGTAACTACTTAAATGGGCTGTCTTACAGTCGCTTGAGTGTTGACATCAAAAGTTGGACTGTTTAGTATAAAAAGAAGTCGTGCTACAATCTGTTTGTTATAGAGTTATGCTATTGGGCCTGAACCAAAGTCGAAAAAGGCTTTCGCAAAAGAGAACTGCTTCGTAAATTTTAATCTTAAAATTGACATTAAATTTCTAACCTCAAGATTTCATTCCCACACAGAACAGAGTCGGATTCTTGTTTATTGGTTCACAAATAGAAATAGAAAAGTTTGTAATGCATGGAAAACGTGAATCTCAAACATTTAGAAGGGATGAACCTTCGTCTTTGAGTGGCTGTAAGATTAAAGTAAGTTAACCTCGTCTGGTGGTTTGTGTTGTATTTTTACAGTTCTACAGATTGTATCATGTTTGGACAGTGATAAATTGGTATACTGCTTGTATACTGTATGATATTAGTGTGATCTTTTAAAGGTGCCTGTGTTGCATTTGTCGTGTTTGAATGACATTTGTATGATGTGTGTGTTGTATTCTGGAGTGTCGTACCTGTGCGTTTGTACACACAGGGTTGAGATAGGAATTGACTAAACGTGTCAGAAATGACCAGGTTAGGTATCAGTTAGTATTGGTACAATGCTTGTGGACTCCTGGGAAGGATTTGTATGATAATCGTATAATCTTGTTTTCTTTTAAAGAACATACGGCGATGGACAGTGTACAGAGATTGTACAGTGGACAGCTTTGTAAGCTGTCTATATGATCTTTGAATGGTGTTGGGCTCTATTTGCACAGTATTTGAGGCTTTTTGGCTTGTTGTTTACCCATCTTTGTGCTTTTTAGCCCTAAAAACTACTTGAACTAAAGCAAAAAAAAGTTAAAGGGTTTTGGAATAGAACTACTCCAAAGTAGGAAAGGATAATCTAGTTGCGTTGGCTTCAGTGGGCTCCCCTAGTTGTCCTAACCTCTTGCCTTTTGACCCTACAGTTACCACAATGGCACCGGGCAGTTCAGCGACACCTGAATGTTTCCTGACTGGGTGTGACTTCAATCTTGCTTTTAACAGCTTGTGCTCCCCATTTTGGCATGTGAACCAGAGAAATTAATCCCTTCCCCGTAAATGTCTGTTTCTAATACGCAAATTTACCAACAGGACGCTACTACAAAGAGTCTGAAACATTCAGATGTCAATTGAAACAGCATTTCGTTCTGCCAAAGTGGCTTGTTTGTACATTGCAAAGGCTCACAAACGGCACTATAAAGAGATGCAAACCTTTTGGAATAATAAAGAAAATCAGAATGGAAGTGAAAACAAACAAAAAAACCAATAAAATAACAAAACAGTAATTAAGGCATCGCAAAAAGACTTTGGAATTAGAGCAAACATTGTAATAAAATAAAGAATAAAACATTCACAAAGTAAAGCCACAGATAGAGCTAGTCAGATAAAGGATTAGTAGTAGGTAAGAAGGAAAACAGGTAAAGAAAACCAAAAAGTCAGCTTGGAAAATCATAAAAGCCTACAAAAGAAAAAAAAAAAGGAAGAAAGCATACCATCGACTTTTTTCAACTTACATCAACAAATTGCCCGCATGATTTTGGCAGGAAGAAAACAAAATTTACAAAAAAAAGTTGTGTAAGAATGCCTTGGGACAGGTTAGATTCTCTTTAACAGCTTCTGGTTACGTAGTATATTATTCTCTGTTTAGACAGGATGGTATAGGGAGGCAACAACACATACATCCACACACATGACATGAAAATAATCTTCGCCATCTTTTTTTTTCCTTTCTATTTTTAAAATCGATTCCGTCTTATAAAAAAAAGAAAAACTGTACATTTATGATTCCTACTTTTATCGTTAAATCTCGGTAAGTATCTACAGCCTGATCGGACGACTCTGTAGCTTTTTTTTTTTTCTTTCTTCTTCTGCTTCTTTTTGCTCAACATTTACTTGTTCATCAGTCGTGAACAAAAATGAACTGTACATATCTTAAGAGTCTCTACGTAAAGGGTCTGGGAGGAGGGAGCGTGAGACGGGGTGGGACCTATGAACATACTAGGAAGGAAATGACATAGATGGGGGTGAACGTGTACATCAGTTGCCATGTCCATGTAAAGGCGGCACGAAGCGGTCGGGCGGCATTAGAGCTTTTGGCTGTAAGGAAGGGATGGGGATATACAAACAATGAGCATATACATGCCCATCTACAAAAGAGAACAGCACTCTCAACACTGACAGTTTTACAAACCCTAAGCTGCAACTTCTTTGCCATGCACAAAAAAATGCGCCACTCATTGATTCAAATTCCAAATTAGAGGCAGCTATTCAAGAACAGGTGAATGTTAAAGATAAGCAGATAAACAGTTTGGAAGAAGCTTTTCATTAACAGTGGCAGGAGGTTTGTGGGGGGGAGAGTCTACTTTGGAGGTGGCTTCTCTTTTTTCTCCATGAAAGCATCAATTTGAAACGCAAACCGAAGGCGTCACAATTTGAAACCCAATATCAAAAACCTGAAACAGGAAGAACTTCATAGGGAAAAGAGGAAGCGTTATTCTAACAAAAGGGACGAGTCGAGACTTTTTGAAGTGAGGTTCTGTTTTGAGGATGCGAGGAGTTAACGTCTTGTCTAGATGACTGTTCTGGCATCTTCATTTTGGATGAATACAGAACGAAGCTGACGGCCAGTCTGACACCAGCCGAGACCAAAGTGAACAACTCCAATAAAAAAAATAAAATACTCCTAGCACTTTTACGGCTATGTGATTCCATTTACCTTCAAACTGTTGCCATAGTTTTCTAGCGAGCATTAAGATATATTTAACTATGTTATCTCTCTTTAGTGAAATAAGTTAATTTAGGAATAAGTTAGCCAAAATTAGGCTCAACTTCAACCACCAGATGGCAGCACAGAGTTTCGAATAAGGTCCGACTGTTGTGTGGGATAAGCATAACCCGGCTGAAACAGCAGATCGTCTGGGCTGAGACTAAATACTTTGAGATTAATTCATGACAATAGTCAAAAGTTCAAGTACTCAGTAATATCAACATAAGTCTGAAGGACACATTTTTTAGATTTTGGTACTAAATAACTTTAAATAACTTAGAGTTTCTAAGAGAGCTCCTAAGTGTCAACATAGAAACTTTTTTCTCAATATTAGAGAAAAAAAAGGGAATCTTGCACAGACTTGCAGAATGATAGACTAACATAGGATAGAGCACGACGCTAACCCAAGCATTTTATGCAAATGAATTTTACAGACATCTGGTTAGCTCAGGGAGGAGGTAGAAACCTCCAGTACCAACCAACAAGATCTCTTCATGATGGGTTTTAAAGTTTGTTCCCAAAACCTTTCATCTCCTCCCCAGTGGCTGCTGCCAAGGGGAGGAAACATCCCTAGGTCTAAGCTAACCAATCAGAGACAGACTTGAGGTTTCCTTTGGCATGTTTTTAGAAACAGAAAGAGAAAAGAAAAATTGTCACCGCAATCATGATACTTTCTTTCTAAATGTATGAAAAAAAAAAGATGAAAGACATAATGAAAATTAAGCTGAACGTAACAACCGATGAGGTCAGTGGGGGAAACCACCTGCAAATATATTTTGATGCATTAACACAGTTCTTGTAGGTTATAGGTCAAAATAACGTGATTGTGATTTCAAAGCCAATAACATAAACCACGGTGACTTTGTTGTACATTAAAGTTACTTTAAGAGAGATAACTGTCCACTTTGGTCTCGCCCTCTCTCTGGTTCGCTGCTAGCTTCGGCTTCCAGGAGCAACTCAGCCTGGATCTGGTCTAAAGGGAGGCGACAAGAAATGCATCCACAGCAGAAAAGACCCCAAAGGCTCAACCTTTTGACAGAACCCCACTTCAAAACATCCTGAACTACCCCTTTTCAGGAAGAAAAGAAAAATCATCAAAACATCGGCAGTTCCCAAGAAATTAGCTGAAAAGTTTAAAAATTTGACATCATCAAAAAAAAAAAGCAACATAGTTTTGCATATATGTGTTTGACATATATGCACAAAAAAAGGACAAGAAGCAAGCAAGAAACAAAGAAAGAAAGGCATTGAATCTCTTACACTATCAAAGATGAACAACCAGAAAGCACACACTGAGGCAGACAAAGAGAGGGGGGGACAGGCTCTAGGTAAAATGTCACCACCTTCATATAACTAATAATACGCTTATTATTAGTTACTTCGTCACATTTCTCTTGTTAGTATTTTTAAACACGGGACAGGGCGTGCAGTCTGGATGTACGTCAGAGAAAGAGAGGGGGGAGGAAACGGGTGGGCTCTTTCGTTTGATTCTTTGGATTTTGTAGTTCCACTGTAAGAAGTTGGGTTAATGCATGCTTTAAGTAAGTTGCATTTAGGGAGAGTAAGATACAATAACAAATACAGCAAGCTAGGGGGGGGGATGAAGAGGAGGGTCTACGGTCAGTAAAGGGCACTGACATCAAGGGCTGTGGGATATTTTCTCAAGCAAAAACCATCCATTAGTGGTTAAGGGGGAGAGAAGGTGCATTATGGGTGAT